CGGATGGCTGATGGTCGCCCACCCTCCCTACAGCCCTGACCTCGCTCCTTCTGACTACTGGCTGTTCAGCCACCTGCAGCGCTATCTGGACGGAAAAAAGTTCGAAACAAAGGATCAGGTCAGAAAGGGCGACTTCTTCAAGTCCCAGCCTCCGTCGTTCTGGAAGGATGGAATCGACAAGCTGCCTGAGCGCTGGCGTCGAGTAGTGGATGGTGATGGTGCATACCTCTAATCTTCAGGTTGGTTCGCTATTGAGATATTTACGAAAAAGTCGGGGCTAAGAACTTATGCACCAACCTAATAACACAGTAAAAACTACAAGAAATATGTCGCTACAGAAAAAAAATGCGCGTTTGTCCGCGTTTTTTTTTTGCAAAAAACAAGTTGCTCTTATCTAATGATTTTGAGACATGCCTAACCCACGCGCTCCTTGCCCATACCCACTTAGGCTCGGGTGATATATTAGTATTCATCTTTATTATTGTAATCCCAGTCTATGCACGAGGCCTTTTGAATGGCCCGTCCACCCTTTCCACCCAAGGAGTTGGGCCCAAAAATTCTGAACGATCATGCAAACAGGCAAAAGTTCTGTCTAAGGAATGGGATACATCTCACCGAAAGGTCCCGCACAGCATCAAAATCTTCTGAAAGCGGTGGAGTTGTTGCAGGTTCAGTCGCAAACAGCTCATCCGTGGTTTGTGGACCCTCTTCAGTAGGTTCCGCACCGACGACCTATGAAGACTTGGATATCTTCAAAACAACATCGAGTAATATTTCCAAACTACCTCTGCCTCATTGAAGATATTATATTGATCTCCTTCCGTGTACCAGACTGGTTCGCAATGACCATGAGCTTGTACAAGGACTCCAGCATTCAGAATATCCATTCCAGGGCGGTAGAGAAGGCGTTCTGGCGGAGGTAGCCTCGCGTTCATCTGCAAGCATGCATGAAATAATTTGATTTGAGAAGCAAACTTCCCAAAATGATGACAGAAAGAACTCTCACCATAATTCCCTCATCCTCAATCTGCTGTTCAAATTGCATGTGGCGGTGAGCGAACTCACACTCAGAACGAGGAGCGGTCGAGAGCACAAGCTCAGAAACTGGTGAGTTATGAGTCTCCGAGAGATGCTCCATAGGCATGAAGCTTTGTTCAAAATGAGGAACCAGAGGTGGTGAAACACGGGGAACTGCAAGAGAAAAACGTATTGAGAAAGACGAAAAAGTATCTCTATATTACCGTATTCGCCTTGCACATCCGTCTCTGAATAATGGCCATAATCTGGATTGAGCGCATCCGGTTCCAAATTGTTAGCTTCGGAAAGCACTTGTGACTCGATACTAGTATACGAGCCGTGAACATAATGCGCTTGAGAGCTAAGTGGTGAGCTACAATCACTGGCCATAGAGCAACTTCCCAAAGGTATTCCAACAAACGGATGAGGATGCTCCTACAAAAACAGTGCAATAATGTCTGGGTTAAATTCCACGAAGCACTGAGGTTACCGTTTCAGGATTCAGCATCCCGCCCGTAGTAGGATCCAATAACGCATCTTCATTGACCTCCAATGCAGCATCACTGAGAAAAACGGAGCCCAGCTCAGCAGAAAGCTGGTCGCTATCCAACATTGGTACTGTAAAAGACATCATCAAGTCAAAAGCAAATATGCATGTTTGGTAAGGAAACAAGAACTACGAAACAGAACACCTACACTTATACTTTTCATGAACACATGAAAAGCGTCCTGAGAGGTGATATGGATGGCGAGTTGCCACTAGTACACCGCCTTCGTTATTAGGGGATGGGAAAAGGTCATCCATCGTATCCAGAGGCGCTGGGTCATCGACGATTTCGTCATCATCCTCGCCGTAAGTCTGGAAAGGAAGAACTGGACATAGGGTAGATATTTATCACAGTTTCATTGTGATATATGATCTTGAACTAGCCTCCGTATTCGTCAGGATGGAACCTGTTGCAGAAAGGCTACCGTCAGAAAAACCATGTACTGATGACCATTCATCGTCTTTCTGTCTAGGATATTTCGCCAACGGATCCTCTTTCAAGTGGGCGTTTTTCGCCATAGCACCAGGCACAAAAACTTGATTGAAGCTTGAACCATCCGAAGTGAACGACTAAAAAGAAAGCAAATGGAAAATCTTCGGAACAGCTCTAGAATTCAACCCGGAGAAATTCCAAATGGTCAAATTTCTCACATTAAACTCCTTGAACTCCGCTTTCCCCTTGGGCTCTTGAACACTTTTCAAGAGAGCATCCAGATTTGGTAAGTTAAAGCCAGACAACATTTCCCAACGAAAATCTGGATGACTGAAAGCCTCTTGGAACACTGAAAACATTTTCTAAATTCGCATGCAACATTTCCAACAAAAAGTTTAATCATACAGCGTTTTTGCTCCGTGAAGTTGCCCGCTTTGCTCACACCGTTGAGGATTCTATCGATGAAGAAACTACTAGACTGTTGATGGCTACTGGACGATGTACTGGAAGCGGAACCGCCAGTACCGCCGGAATGGCATGAAACTGAAGAGCCCGCAGGACTGGGAGCAGCTCCTGAGACAGAGCCTGATCCAGAAGCAGCTGAGCCGTGTGACATAGCTCTTGTACCGTCATCTCCATTGCCGTGATGAACTGAATTACTCTCGATTGTAAGTTGTAAGCATGCGAGCGATACATTCGACGTGTGAGGGGGACTTACTCAATTTAAAGTCTTCCGAACAAGGAGAGGTGTTCGATGTATCTTTAGGATTCTCCTGGGGATCGTCTTGCTCTATGCTCGATACAGTCTCAGTCTCCATGCCAGGTTCACTGGTATTACCATTTTGGGATAGCTGCTGCAAAAGAAATCCCATCAACGGATACATCAGAGGGTGATCTAGCTTAGCTAACCTGCTGCATTGCAGCGAAATGCAAAATGTTCAAAGGCATTGTAGGCAACATGCTGTTGGCTTTCTGCAAGGAAAAACCTCACTGGGGATCGTCTTGCTCTATGCTCGATACAGTCTCAGTCTCCATGCCAGGTTCACTGGTATTACCATTTTGGGATAGCTGCTGCAAAAGAAATCCCATCAACGGATACATCAGAGGGTGATCTAGCTTAGCTAACCTGCTGCATTGCAGCGAAATGCAAAATGTTCAAAGGCATTGTAGGCAACATGCTGTTGGCTTTCTGCAAGGAAAAAGCTCATACAGAGTAAGGTTATCAAATATGAAGCGAACCTTTCGTCTTCCACCAGTATTGTGTGGTCGATTTTTCTTCGCCCTTTCGTAGGCTTCATCTCCATGTACAGTCTTGATATGTTTTCTCAACGACGATGGATCCGTATAACTCTTGCCGCATTGTGCAACAGGACACATATAGGGTTTCTGAAATAGAAACTCTGAGTAATGGAAGCTTTAGTACTACAGGGCCGCAATCACCTATGAAAACGTCATGATTTGGTGCAAATAACCCGTTTCGTGTTAAAGCAGATTGTATGAGAACGCGTCGCTTCAGGCTGCGCTCAAACTTTGCTACAGCGTACGCCAGCGTTTCGAGCGACTAGGAAAGTATAGATATTGATCTAGTGTACGCTGGTATGTATGCTGGCGGACGCTCGAAACGCTGGATCGATATCTATACTCCTGCTCGCCCGGAACACTGGCTTGCGCGGCATGCGCTAAATCGATACCTATACTTTCCTAGTCGCTGGCGTATGCTCGAAATGCCGCCGCAGCAGACGCGAAGCGTGAACGTACCCTTAACTGGCGCCGCACGTGATCATACAATATGTCACGACATTCGATTGATGACAAGATCGCGTCTTGGAACATATGCCCTTCCCACGCCATCTGTTCTAATTTTTATGGAAACTGTTCAAGAAGGTGAAATTCCCATTTTTTTCTTCATATTACCAGTGACTTCTTAATGACATGAACTTAGAAAATTTCTGCTGACTACAACCACGCTATGGTGTATTACGCAGTTTTGGACGATTGCGGACCCCTACTACTATAGCATCAATTATACGTCTCCTATGAGTAATCACCTGGGAATTTCAACAAAGACTAACCAGGTTGGAATGCGTTCTATTCTGATGT